TAGAAAAGATATAAATAATTAGTCTAATAGAATAGATATAAACTGTATAAAACAGAATGAAATTGTAGGAAGTAGTTCCCTGATTTAGATCTATCCGTATGTATTTGAATTGAAATCCTATTACTGTGATGGATCTCTGAAAAGAGCTGTCTATATATGTCACAGCCGGATTGTTAATTTTGCGGCTAAATTAACAATCCGGCTGTGCGTTACAAAGCCTCTAGCCGTTTGATTAGTACTGATTCTTTTTTGATTTTCTTTTTGAAACCGTGTCCTGTTTTATATTTGTGGCGTAGTAAACACTAGTATTGTGTTTTATTCCAAAGACACATGGCAAATTTTCCATCAAATTCCTTTATTAGTTGAGTTGATACGGTACATTGTTTTGTACTCGTTTCGGGCTTTGCCCCTCTTCAGTCAACTAAAATACAATATCTATATTTAACTTATTACAGTAGAGAATTTACATAAAACAATGAGTACATAAACGATATATAGACGTACTGTACCTTTTGGTTACACTTTGTATAATTTACAAACATGTAAAATCCGCTTTAATCTTTGTAAAACTAGTATATATTATAAATTAAAAGGTTAAAATATTCTAAAATCTTCTCTTATAGGCATATTTCGATACAACACAACTGTAAAAAATTTTTAGCTGTTTCCTCCCCCTTTTTACCTTCCACCCCCTTTTTATTTTTTCTTATGCGCTGGTATCTCAAGTGTTGCCATGTATGACGTTCGATAGAAGAAAAAAAAGAAAAAAATATTATTATAAAAATATTATTTATAATATATTAATCCAGTTTTCGTTTATTTTAAGACTTAAGATTTACCGAACTAGAATGTTCGGTACGATATTGTATTTATACTGTTTTTACTTTTCATGATTTCTATGGTTTCTTTAAACTTCCTGTTGTACGTTAATTTTCCTTTATGCAGTATTTCTACGTTATCTTTATCTATATTACAGTTGTTTATAGTACAATGTTCGTAAAATGCAGAATTTATTCTATTGTATTTTAGGTCTGCTATGTGTTCTTTCAGTCTAGTACTGATTCTGTATCTCTGAACTTTCCGAGAATAAAGAAACAACCAAATGGAGTCGACTGCGGTATATACAGAATCGTTTTTGCTGTCTCCTTAGCATTTGGTATCATGGTATGAAATTCGGTACAATTCGGTACGATCATAGATAAATGCGTTCTCATTTGTTAAAATATTTAATTCGTCTAAATTAGTTATGTACTTTACAGTGGTGATATTCAGCGGGTTCGCACAGGTTCGGCCGAACCCGTTGTTAACATTTTCAAAGTTTTCCGAACCCGTTGTTAAACGCACGTAACTCAGTGATTTTGTTTTTTTTTTTAATATATTAAAATATACGTATTATACTCTGTAACACTACTAAACTAGAGCCTTATACTCTGTTCGCCTAGTGCAACCTCCATCGACCGTTTCAATCTCGACTAAAACGAGGTTCAATCGCGATCGACTCGAGAGTTCTCGAAACTAGATCCAATCATAAGAGAGATCCCACAATCCCGCGCGCGCGAAAAAATACAAGATGGCTGCGGAGCACCTGTTGGACTATCAACAGCGAAATAAGAAAGATATTGTATTTCGAGAGACGATGACATCTATTATTATAATAATACCTAACGATAAAATAAATGATTTAGAAAAGTTTTTCTTGTTTAACTGCTTTCCCTATGACTTTTTCTGATTAAAAAAAGCCAATTTTTATGTTTATAAAATATTTTGAATGAAAAATATTAAAATATGTACAAAATAAACCATTTTGAACACTCTTTTTTATTATTTATAAAAAAAATATAGTTCTGGCATAAACAATGTTAAATTTTAACTGACTAATTTTGCGAACGCATCTTTTTTATTTATATGGATATCTTAAGGTCAGTTTTTGCGCTAATGTTGCTAATGCACCATTTGAGCGAAAAAAAA